CTTCTTGCTAAAAGGCCTGTAGAAACCTTTCTTGTTATCCTTACATCCCCTGCGAGTTGCAATTCCAATTGCGCTTTCGCCTTCCTGATAATTCCCCTGCATTCTCGAGCTTCACATTTATACCCCTCCCTAGTCATCTGTCAAAGTTTCCACATTTTTTTTAAGGTCCCTTTTCATGCTTATGTTCACCAAGGATTTCTCCGGTAAGCCAATCTGGTCTCCTACCTATTTGCTTCTCTTGCTACGCATTAGAATGGTTTCTTTCTGTGCTTTCAATAAGGCTTCTTTTAAAATACTGCCTGCTCTCCTGGGCTCCTTTCCCCTTCATCTTAGCATCCCAGGGTATTCTTCCCATCAGTTCTCTGAGGGAGCCCAAATCTGCTTTTCTAAAGTTCAAGGTATGTATTTTACTACTCTCTTTTCTGGACAGGATCCTGAAATCTACCATCTCATGATCACTGCTTCCCAGGTTGTTACCTCTAAGTCCCCTATTAGCTCCTCCCTGTTTGTGAGCAGCAGGTCAAGCTGCGCGCAGCCTCTGGTCAGATCCTGCAGCACTTGTACCAAGAAGTTGTACCAAGAAGTTATCCCCAAAATTCTCCAAAATCTTCCTGGATTGTCTGTGAACTGCTGTATTGGTCTCCCAACAGATGTAAGGGTGATTAAAGTCCCCCATGAAAACCAGGGCCTGTGATCTGGAAAGTTCTCTTAGTTATCCGAAGAAAGCCTCATCTACCTCATCCACCTGATTCGACGGCCTGTAGCAGACACCAACCACAACATCGATACTGTTGCTTACACCTCTAGACTTGATCCATAGACTCTCAACAGGCTTTTCTCCCTCTATATACTGGAGCTCTGAGCAATCATAGTGCTTTCTTATGTATAGTGCAACTCCTCCTCCTTTTCTCCCCTGCCTGTTCTTCCTGAACAGTCTATACCCTTCCATGACAGCGCTCCAGTCATGCAAGTCATTCCACCAACTCTCTGTTATCCCAATTAAATTGTAGTTCTTGGACTCGGCCAGGGCCTCCAATTCTTCCTCTTTGTAACCCAGGTGAGAGCATTGGTGTACAAACACCTTAGATAACCAGTTGATCGCCTGACCCTTTGCATTCGAATCAGGGGTCCACCTTTGTTGATCGTTCCTCTTTGCATTTTCCTCCTTTCTTGCTCGTTCCGCTCTGCATTTCTTCCCGTTATCCGACTTTTGCCTCAGGGTTTTGGTCACCGTCCCCCGACGAACCTAGTTTAAAGCCCTCCTCACTAGGTTTCCAAGCCTGCCCGCAAAGATGCTCCTTCCTCTCTTGGTTAGGTGGATCCCATCTCTTCCTAACAATCCTTGTGCCTGGAACAGAGTCCCATGGTCGAAGACACCAAAGCCCTCTCTGTGACACCACCTGCGCAACCACACATGTACTTCCTCAATTCGATGAGCCTTATCCAGTCCTTTCCCTTCAACAGGGAGGATGGTCGAGAACACCACTTGCGCTCCGAAGGCTTTGATCCTTCTTCCCAACTCTACGTAATCTGCAGTAACCGCACAAGGTCATTCTTGGCTGTATCATTAGTTCCCACATGGAGAAGCAGGAAGGGGTAGTGATCCGGAGGCTTGATCATATTTGTAAGCCTCTCAGTCACATCCTGAATCTGAGCTCTTGGTAAGCAGCACACCTCTTGAGATGCCAGGTCCAGATGGCAGATGGATGGCTTAGTCCCTCTTAGGAGGGAGTCCCCGACCACCACCACCCGTCGTCTTCTTTTGTGGGTGATGGTCATGGAACACCCATCCCTAGGACTACGCATCTCATGCCTTCCAGTAGATGGTGTTCCCTTGTGGTTTCTTCCTTGTGAGGTCCTTTCCAAAGCATTCCCCACTGCAAAGCCTGTGGAGAGAGCCTGAAAGTGATGACTTACCTCTATAGCACTGGGGGATTCCCGTGCTGGCCTTTTTCCCCTTCTAGAAGTTACATATTGCCAGTTCTCTTCCTGGTCTCGTACTGCCATCTCCAGTTCTTCCGCCTGCCATGCTTGCAGAATTAAATGCTGCCTTCTATCGAGGAAGTCTTCATCCTCCATGATCGAGCGTAGGGTCGACACTTGGGCCTCCAGTCCTCTAATTTTTTCTTCCAAAATGGCAACCAGCTTGCACTTCATGCAGATGAAATCCGTTCTTTCTTCTGGGAGGAAAACAAACATGGCACATGCTATGCAGGTAACAACAACAGACCTATCACCATCCATGCCTGCTGTCCTGTTCGCAAGCTTGAGTGCGGGTATGGAGAGTCCAAGCAGCCACCTCTGTTTTTTCCTGGGAGGCCAGTTCTTGAGCAAAAACTCTTGGCTGCCTGTCCACACTCCCCTTTTGTGCAAGAACGCTTGCGCAAGAAGGCTTCTTCCTCATACGGAGCATCAGCGCTCATGCGCAAGAAGCACTCTTTTCCAACTCTGTACTGTAAATTTACTTGCGCAAGAATGTGTGTGCAGTTTAGACATTCCACAAGTTTTTGCTCAAAACAGCCATTCTTGCCTAAGAAGCCTGAAGTGTAGATGTAGCCCCTGGCAGGGTGGCAAAATTAGGGCCAAATCCTGGGATTCACCCTTGGTGTATCTACTCCCTGCTTCCTTGGAGCAAAATGCCTTCTGATACTTGGGAGTGTTTTGCCTGGGCATAAGCCAAAAAAGGCTCTGAAGTATTTGGTTCAAGGAATTTACTTTCACTAGGCAATATTTTAAATAGCAATCCTGGGCCAGATTTTGTTCTTAGCGATACCCATGTAATCACTCAGGGTGAGTCTACACTGAACCATTATTTTGAGATAATTAATGTTATTTTGAAATAACAATGAGAGCGTCTACACAGCCATTCCATTATTTTTAAATAATTTTGAAGTTACGGAAGGCTTATTCCTAAATCTGTAAACCTCATTCTACGAGGAATAATGCCTATTTCAAAATAACTATTTTGAAATAAGGCGTGTGAAGATGCTCCATTGCTGTTATTTCAAAATAGTCCCTCACCTTGGTCATTCTAAGTTATTCTTCCCCAGTGCCTCTTGGGGCTCTAAATCGAGATAGCACATCTACATTAGGGAAGCCTGCCTTGGACTAATTTTGAGGCTTCTGGAATAGCTTATTTCGAAATAAGCATGCAGTGTAGAAGTATCCTCAGAGTGAAAGGGTGAATTTAAGCATAGATGGGCAACACTGCCAGTGTCTCAATCCCACTGCTGGATGGCGCAATTAATGTAGGTGCTGGTCTCTGCACACTCACCTCACAGAGGATTAGGCCCACTAATTAGCCACAGTCAACATGGTTGATTCCAAACTCTCTGCTTTAATACCAGGCCTTTTTTCACCCTCCCTGACAGTAAACCACCAATCAGTGTCCTGTGTGAGACTGCATTCCTGGGTTGATGGAGGGAGACCTCACATCTGAGCTGCAGTGTGACAGAACAGGAGAGAGAGAGCTACAGGCCATTGCTCCTGAATTCATCTGGGTTTACTAATTGGCAGGATTTCCATTCAGATACCTGGGGCTGGTGTTTTTGCTCAGCAGAAACTGAGCCTGATTCCTTCTTCCCATCTTCCACCATCCTGTTTCTTCTTCTGGCTCTTTTAAAGCTAATTTTGAAATATTAAAAAGGTCACATTTGACCGCTGTTTGTAGTGGTGAAGATGCTTGCCTCCTGGTTACATGGCCTAGAATGCTACAGCTCAATTCTGAGGGCTCAGGCAGGTTTCCATGGAAACAGATACAGAGTTTCTGGGCACTGCCAGGTATCCAATGAACAGTGACAAACTGCACTGCCCTACACTATAATGCAACATGACAGGGAGAAGAAAAGTATCCAGATCTAATCTTATTCCAGAATTGCAGGTACATGCATTTGTGTGCCGGTACAAATATAACTCTCTCCATATCTGAGGGAGAATAATGTGATGTAAAGAGCATTATGTGTGGGATTAGCACATTATTCGCTTGAAATATTGTGCTACTAATTTGCTCTGCTGTAATGGTGCAGTTGTTCTGTAAGGTTAAAAAAGGCAACCAGCATGCGGGAAGTCCTCCTCATCCCAAGAGCAGTATCTGTGGGATGGTGGAGAGGGCCTCATGAAAGCAATTTGTGTTTATGAAAACCTATCCTGCTGATGCTGTTTTTAGGGCCCTCCGCAGTGAGCGACAAGTCTGGCTGAGCAGTTGGCAGCCAGTTCCTCCCTGAGTGCCATCCAGGAAAGCAGAGAATGCTAGGAAATATAGCCCCATGGGCAGTCCTAGCCTGGAACAAAGCATACGGGGACTTAAAAGAGCTTGCATGAAACACCTCCAGGAGCTCTGGGAGAAAGATGGGAGGAGTAGGTCATGCTGAGATGCAGCTCTGGAAGCAAGCCTTTTTGGTTTTGATTTTGTGTTGGTTTTTTTATTTTGTATTGTGTTTTCTTTTGCATAGGCTTTGAAGGGAGTCTCTACCAGTTCCCTAGAATGAGTAATGCAACCCTTAGCAGGGAAAGAAGGGTATTGGCTCCAAAAATAAATAAAGCAACTCATTAATTTTACACATATATACACACAGAGGAATAGTATGTACAGGACACCCATTGTATTCCCAAGAGCCAGCCCTTTAAAGGGCTTGAAAAAATGCCCACTGGGTCACTGATCTGCAACAGCAAAGGACTAGACATTCATGATGGGGAGGCAAGTGCACCCATAAATAAAGATTGTGTCTGCATGTTTGCAGAGTACAGAGTAGTGTAAACAAGGAGTCAAAACTCAATTCTATGCTGTAGTCTGTGTTACAGAGGGGTGCATGGCTGGCATTCACAGTATGGCCCCGCCAGTCTTATTAGGCTCTGTCTTCTGTCAATGGAAGCTGTAAAGCTGGATCTGCCTTTGCTAAGCAAGGTGCAGAGAGAGCTGGCTCTTGCCAAGGAGAGGAGTATTCTAGTGAACTTCAAAGCAATGTCTGTGATCCTGCAAGACCAGAGAGAAAGCAGAAAATCTAAAAGGAAAAGAGTAGGATGGGGACCCCAACAACTCTTCTCCCCAACATACCCTGATGGACATCAAACTTTGGAGTGCAGGGGATATGAATGGCTCCATCCTCATCATCTGGTAACAGCAGAAACGGTGGTTTTGAGACCAGAAGTTTAGGAGCATCTGTGCTCTCCTGCACCGTGCCAACATAGAATGTGCCCAGTTTCTGTATGGCTTTAGCAGAGACCTTATTGGTGTGCAAAATCTCCTTGGGGATGGCCTTCTCCTGGCTGATGTAGTTCATCAGTATTTTGCTGGTGGTCAGGGAAATCCCAGAGACCCGGAGGCCATCGTGCCTTGCTCTAATAATTTCTGGAACAGTGCTCCTTGCTGCAACAGGAGAGAGAGAAAGCTGACTGAAAGACAGTGTCAAGGAGAGCATGACTGCGTCTACACTGGCATGATTTTGCGCAAATACTTTTAACAGAAAAGTTTTTCTGTTAAAACTATTTGCGCAAGAGAGCGTCTATACTGGCATGTGCCTTTGCGCAAAATATTTGCTTTTGCGCAAAAGCATCTGTGCCAGTGTAGATGCTCTCTTGCGCAAGAAAGCTCTGATGGCCATTTTAGCCATTGGGCTTTCTTGCACAAGAAATTAACGTTGCTGTCTACACTGGCCCTCTTGCGCAAGAATATTTGCGCAAGAGGGCTTATCCCTGAGCAGGAGTGTCAGAGTATTTGCACAAGAACCACTGATTTTGTACATTACAAAGTCAGTGTTCTTGCGCAAATACTCGCGACCAGTGTAGACAGGCGGCAAGATTTTGCACAAAAGCCCATGAGCTGGGAGTCACCCCAAGAACAAAATCGTGCTAGATTCTACAAGCACAGGGCACCAGTGTTCCCTGAAAACTGTAGGCTTGTACAGCCTTGCAGGAGAGATTCAAATGCTGCCCAGCTGATTAGCAGAGTGCCCACAACTAGGTTTTGTGTTTCTATGAGTGGTGCACATTCACACATGCCTCAGTACATTAAAATTATTCTGCACCTGGATAGAAAATATCCGCACATGGATGGAAAAGATTAGCAAGGATGTGGCAGAGTACCCCAGGCTGCGTCTACACTGGCACGATCTTGCACAAAAGCGGCTGCTCTTGCGCAAAAACTTGCTGCCTGTCTACCTTGGCCGTATGTTCTTGCGCAAGCACACTGACATTCTAATGTATAAAATCAGGGCTTCTTGCACCAGAACTCTGACGCTCCCACTCAGGAAGAAGCCCTTTTGCAAGAGCTCTTCCAGAAGAGGCCAGTGTAGACAGGCAAACATGAATTTCTTGCGCAAGAAAGCCCTATGGTTAAAATGGCCATCAGAACTTTCTTGCGCAAGAGAGCATTTACACTGGCATGGCTGCTTTGCGCAAAAGCAAATCTCTTGTGCAAATGCACATGCCAGTGTAGACGCTGTCTTGTGGAAGAGTTTTTGCACAAGAACTCTTCCGCAAAAGAGTTCTTGTGCAAGAAGCTGCCAGTGTAGACGTAGCCCCGGTGTTTTGTATTCTATGGTTTATTCAGCCTCTTTTGACAGCCTTGCAGCTTTTCTACCTGTGTAGGAAATGGAATTGGTCATGTAGCATTGTAGTTACCATCCCACACTGCCCCATAAGTGGCACATGTTCAGTCTCACTGCCTGAGATGAAATGCACCATGTCACTCTGCTTGTAACCATGCTAGGAGAAGTACTGATGAGGTGTTACATTCAGCTCCCTAGGTTCTGGAAGTAAGGGTGTGGGGGACAGGCAGGGGAGGCTATAGCAATCCCTGATCTGAAGTAGTTTCCATTAGAGATATGGGATTTACAGTTAGGTTCAGTGATTCTCAGAACCTCTACTATACAAATTGTTCCAATACCTCTGTTCAGCCCTGGTCTTCCATGGCTAAAGAATGTCACTGGGAAACTTCATGGAGGAGCAAACTCACTTCATATGTGAAGTCACAAAAACCTCTTCATCCTTGACACTAGGGCTATGTCTACACTGGTGGGTTCTTGTGTCAGAAATATGCAAATGAGGCTAAGCGTGGAATATTGCCGAGCCTCACTTGCATACCTAATGAGCCACCATTTTTTGAAGAAGAGGCTCTTGCGCCAGAAGGAGCATCTACACTGCCCCTTCTTGCACAAGCAAACCCCTCTTGCACAATGCCACTATGCTGATTATTTTCAGGAATAACGGCAATGAGCAAGAGGCAATGCTACCTTGCTCCCTGGCCCACTTCCCCAAGATGATGATCTCTCTGGGCTTTGAGGCTCGGCTATTTACATCCTGTCCCAGGTTCTGCAAAGTTTGGTAGCCAATTGTGGTTAGTCTTCAGTCTCTGGACCTGGTCCTGAACCAGTTCTAAAGTTCAGCTCGCACTCGGAGCTGTCCAAGGTGCTGCTGTAGTAATAGAGATGTAGCCGTGTTAGTCTAGTCTAGCTAAAACAAAAAACAGGACTATGTAGCACTGTAAAGACTAACAAGATGGTTTATTAGGTGCTGCTGTCCTCCCTGTTGCTGACTCAATCTGGCTGGGTCGAGTGCCAGTGAAAAACTGTCAGTCCCAGATTGGCTGCAGCAGAAGCAGCAAGTCTCTCCTGCTTGGAGGACAGCTCTTCTGCTCTTCTCCCTGGGGCGGGGTGCAGCAAGGCCTCCAGTAGAGGGCGTTGGGCCTAGTCCACATGAAGTTAACAATAAAGTCAAACCCCAATGATAGGATACATGTGAGGAATGCCCAATGTTTGAATATCCAGGGTTAAGAGCAGGCTGAGAGTGCTGCTCTGAACTTATAACTTTGTCTGAATTCCCCCCTATGAACCTCACCTACTGCATCTGCTCCCAGGCTTAAGGGGAACATGTGATGTTCTGCAATGGTCCATTTGTCTCGGTGTTGGTAAAGGTCTCCTCTTGCTGTTCAGTCTCCCTTACTACCTTTTATTTTTAGATTGGTAAATGGAAATGAGTATTATATATCCTTGCAGAGCAAAAGTGAAGTGTTCTGGGTGGGACCAAAACCAACAGCCTATTGCTTCAGTAGCCACGCTTTCTGGACCCCAGTAGCCTCGCACTGGCCGCCAGCCCCACCAACTCCCACTTGCGAACGGGGACTGCTAACAGGGAGTCTGGAGAGGGAGTTCTCCTGGTGAAGGAGGAAGCTAATACAGGATCCTTGAGGGAAGTGGCTGTCTGTAGTGTGTGTTTGTGTTTGGGGGTTTCTTGCTGTTTGTGGAGCTTGTGTTTGTCCATTTAATTTTTTTCCCACTATTCCCTTCCCCTCCTTCCCCCCCCACGGAGTGTGTGCTGTGGCTGGCAGATAGCAGAATGTAACCACTAGAAGAAGAAGGCCAACTCAGGTATCCCTCATTCCTGTAGAGGTAAGTAACTGCTATCAGGCTCTCTCCACAGGCACTGTGGTGGAGAATGCTTTGGCAGGGACCTCACAAGGAAGAAACCGGAAGGGAACACCATCTACTGGAAGGAATGGGATGCGTAGTCCTAGGGATGGGGGTTCCACAACCACCCCCCCCAAAAGAAGAAGACGGGTGTTGGTGGTCGGGGATTACCTCCTAAGAGGGACTGAGCCATCCATCTGCCGTCCAGACTTGCAATTTTGAGAAGTGTGCTGCTTACCAGGAGCTCGCATTCAGGATGTGACCGAGGGTTTCTTCAACCAGGGGACTCTGTTCTGGGCACAAGGATTGTTAGGAAGAGATGGGATCCACCTAACCAAAAGAGAAAAGAGCATCTTCATGGGCAGGCTTGCAAACCTAGTGAGGAGGGCTTTAAACTAAGTTTGTTGGGGGATGGTGACCAAAGCCCTGAGGTAAGTGAGGAAGTCAGATACCAGGAAGGAACACAAGGAGGAACAAGCAACAGGCCCTGATTCTCATGGGAGACTTTAATCACCCTGACATCCGTTGGGAGACCAATACAGCGGTACACAGGCAATCCAGGAAGTTTTTGGAGAATGTTGGGGATAACTTCTTGATACAGGTGCTGAAGGATCCGACCAGGGGCCGTGCGCAGCCTGACCTGCTGCTCACAAACAGGGAGGAACTAGTAGGGGAAGTAGAGGTGGGTGATAAGCTGGGAAGCAGTGATCATGAGATAGTAGATTTCAGGTTCCTGACCAAAGGAAGAAAGCAAAACACACACCCTGGACTTCAGAAAAGCAGACGTTAACTCTCTCAGAGAACTGATGGATGGGGGGGGTAGGGCTGGGGGTACTTTATAAAAAAAGGTTGAGAAACACTGCTTTAAGTGGTAAAAGAGCTAGCAAACAGAACAATGCAGGTTACTAAGGAAATAAAACAAAGTATGCAAACTAAGCTAGCTTCACTAAAGGAACTGGTTACAGATGATAATTCAGGAGCAAAATGCAGGACAATGTAGCACTTTAAAGACTAACAAGATGGTTTATTAGATGATGAGCTTTCGTGGGCCAGACCCACTTCCTCAGATCAAATAGTGGAAGAAAATAGTGGAAAAATAGTGGAAGAAAATAGTGGAAGAAAATGGAGAGCTGAAGGTATTTTAAAGAAGCCTTATTAAAGGCACAGAAAGAAACCATCCCGATACACAGCAAGAAAAGCAGATATGGTAAGTGACCAGATTGGCTTACCAGGGACATCCTTGGTGAGCTTAAACACAAAAAGGAAGCTTATAAGAAGTGGAAACTTGGACAGGTGACTAGGGAGGAGTATAAATATATTGCTCGAGAATGCAGGGGAGTAATCAGGAAGGCAAAAGCACAACTGGAATTGCAGCTAGCAAGGGATGTGAAGGATAACAAAAAGGGTTTCTACAGGCATGTTAGCAATAAAAGGGTGATCAGAGAGGGGGTGGGGCACTTACTGGATGAGGGAGGTTACCTTGTGAAAGATGATGTGGGAAAAGCTGAAGTACTCAATGCTTTCTTTGCCTCTGTCTTCATGGACAAGGTCAGCTCCCAGACAAATGCACTAGGCAACACAGTATGGGATGGAGGTGGACAGCCTTTGGTGGGGAAGAACAAGTTAGGAACTATTTAAAAAAGCTAAACATACGCAAATCCATGGGCCCGGATTTAATGCATCCGAGGGTACTGAGGGAGTTGGCAATTGTCATTGCGGAGCTTTTGGCCATTATCTTTGAAAACTTCCTGAAGGGAGGTTCCAAAGAGGATGGAGAGAGGCTGTTCACAGAAGTGACAGATGGCAGAACAAGGAGCAATGGTCTCAAGTTACAGTGGGAGAGGTCTAGGTTGAATATTAGGAAAAACTATTTCACTAGGAGGGTGGTGAAGCACTGGTATGGGTTACCTAGGGAGGTGGTGGAATCTCCATCCCTAGAGGTTTTTAAATCTTGGCTTGACAAAGTCCTGACTGGGTTGATTTAGTTGGGATTGGTCCTGCCTTGGACAGGGGGCTGGACTTGATGCCCTCCTGAGGTCTCTTCCAGCTCTATGATTCTATGAATGGTCTCATAAGAGGGACCTGCCAGCATGCAGCACACACCCTCTTGGATGAAATCCAGGTAATCCAGGTCCTGTACACGCTTTCTAGGCAGGCTGAACAAATCTCTGCTGGACATGTTTCAAATGCGGAGAAGTTTCACTCTAACGCTGCATGGGAGAGCAGAGCAGATACAGTGACTAGTGGTGAACTCTGGAGCTGGTGGTGCTGCTGCTGCTGCCTCCATAACATCATTCACCTTTCACCTTTCTGGGCCCTATCAGTGGCAGCCTTGGCTGCCCCGGGGGTCAGCGGGGATCTGGCCAGCAACATGATGACACGTTCTAGAATATTATGAGATCAGCCTGGCAGTCGTCAGCTTCCCCTGGGCCCCTTCTTAATTCCCCTTCTGCATCTGCTTGGCTCCATGCTGGCTGCTGGTCCTTGGGGTGGTGGTAGTCTGAACCCTTGGGAAGGATGTAGAAGGTCTCCTCTTTGGAGCAAGGGCCTGGTGGCCTGGGCCAATCCTCAGCCTCTCCAAGGTCCTCAAGGCCCTCTTGACTTGAGAGCTCAGGGCAGGCCTCTGCTTCCTCTGGCGGCTGAGGCCTCACTGGGCTCTTGGGCTGGGCTTTTATCCTCCCTGTCCCACCCCTTGGCCTCTGGGGAGTTAAAGAGGCAAGACCCAGTTTGGCCCACCAGGGCTTGGAGAGGGGATTTTCTCCCTCGGAATCAGTGAGAGGCCACCCCTGCTCATTACAACAGCCTCTCAATAGAAACACTCACTCCTTCCCTCTTTAATCCCCCAACTGCCCGTCTTCCAGCGGGACTGCTGTTATGGTAAAGGCTGGTAGCGGGCTCCTACAGCAGCAGTGCTTCAGAGTGGTCTCCATATATTTGGGGCTCCCACCCTCCAGGTCCCACCAGAAATCATTGCTGGCTTACATATCTCCTCCCCAATTATATGCTGTAACTATTTAAAATCTTGCATCACATAGTTGTTATTCATTGCACCTCTGGTCATGGACATGACTCCCTTTACGACTTGCTCGTCCCTAGCACCGTCCCTAGGGAGGCCTGCTGTGAAGGGTCTGATGGAGGATGAATAATTGTACCTTTAGGGCAATCTCTATATCATGGGACTGTTAGGACTATTTTGCCCCAGGGATGACCCTACTTTGCAACACAGAGGGTTACATTGGCAGCTAATTTGCATCCACCCTCTTAAATAGAAGCAAAGGTTGGAGTATTCACTAGCATTTGGACCATTTTTGATAGATGGAGAGAAACTGCTGGATATTTGAGTTTATCTCTTACTACAGTTTTAAATGTCTCAAGTGATGGGACTTCCACTAAGGATGTTAAGGACTAGTCTACTAGTCGATAAGCATTTCGATTCCCCCATGCCCCTCTGCCTCTATGAGGCAGCAAACAGTCGGGGGAGGGGAGGAGGAGAAGGGTATTTCAAAGCATCAGTGCTGTATAGCTGAGCCAGTGATCAACTGTGCTGCGTTACCACTTTGAAACCCCAACGTGGTGTTTCAAAGGGGAAGCCTCTGCACAGCTGATCTGCAGCTCAGATGTGTGGCACTGCCCCTTTAAAACACCAGAGTGTGGAGCCAGGGTTAAGCTGGGGACTCCCCAACTGATCCTGGGCTCCGCGCAGCGTTTCCCCAGAACTTGGGGTCAGCAGAGGAGTCCCCCGCTGACCCTGGGCTCCATGGCTTTGAAATGCACAAGAGACCCTGCTGGGGACTCTTGTACATTTCAAAGCAGGCATCCCCGTGCATCCCGGAGTAAGCAGGACTTCCTCCTGGCTCCCGGCTATACGCAGTGTTCCTTTGAAATATACAAGAGCCCCAGCGGGGGCTGTTGTACATTTCAAAGGAGGAATGTGGAAGTGCCTATCGACTAGTCGAGTAGGTGATAGAAATCCATTAACTACTCGACTAGTTATTTAACCATATTTTAACATCCCTACCTTCCACTGCTTGCTTTGGGAGGCTGCTCTGCAGTAAGAAACTCTTTCCAAAGACAAAGCATCTGGCTTCTGGCACCCCAGGTGAACTGTAACAACAAACAGCTCAACAATGTAAGTTAGTTTATCATCACCTAGCAGTTACATGGAAACGGTGGCACTGGAGCACAACATGGGATACTTCGGGCTATCCTGCTCTAGTCTGGGGCAGCTGACAGAACAGATGGCTGCAAAGCTGGGTCCATCACTCCTGCTGATGGAATCAGGTTGGCCAGGAAGCCACTGAACGTAGGAGTGGGCAGTAAGTCCATGGCTCGGGAGAGGAAGGGGGCGGGGCAGGGGAGATTTTAAAAAAACCTCTATTGTTCAGGCTCCCATAACCACATCTAGCCTATAGCTCGAGCTGGCTTTAGAATCTTTTCAGCTGCACATTTAGACAGGGCTATAGTGTTTTATATTTTACTGCGGAGCTACTGTGGGGGCCACAAATGATACCTACAGCACATGCCAAGGGCTGCAACTTAAGTGTGGCTGCAAATATATGCAAGTATTTATGCAAATATATGCAAATAGCTTCTTTCAAACTGACAGGCATAAATACAAAGATTAAGGCAAGACTACACAACATGCAGGCCCCATTTAAGTCAGTTCTGCTGATATTAATAAAATTTTCCAACCATATGACAGCACTTTTAATGAGCAATGACAGTTCAGCAATTTAACTACTAAAACACATAACAACAGAAGACCATTATATTGACACTTTTTTTGTTTTGGCTTCACAATTTTAACAAATCAAACAAAAACTGCCAATACAATATTTACTGAAATAGCTCCTCTCCTACCCCAGAGTCAGGCACCTCTACCTTTTACGTGGTCACTCCCACCATCCGGCCCAGCTGCCTTGGAGACTTGATTGCAGTTTGCATGTGGCCCACCAGGTGCTCTTGGCTCACTGCAATGCATGGGGCTGTGCGCGTGGCTCCCATCCCCGCCTGGCGCCCCCCTTAACATGGCACCAGGGGGCAACTGCCCGCACACACACAGCCACGGCTTTTATCAGAGGCACGCCACGCAGCTCTACTTGTGGGGAGGCTCTTCTGCCTCTTACCACGCACCCCGTCCCCCACCAGCTGGCAGCAATGAGGCAGGCAGGTGTCCCGGGAAGCAGCTAAAACCACCGCGGGCGGCATTCAAAGGGGCTGCGAGAGGCATGCGGCCCATGGGCCATGTGTTGAGTAGCCCTGTTTTACTGCATCC